TGACCTGCAGCATCCACACGCAGAGCTCATATATGTGTGGATCTGTGCGCCCTCCCTCCCGCTTACGTACCGTTGCCTTCGTTGAAGCACTCGACTTTGTCGAACGTCTTCCCCTTCTTCGCTGCCAGGTGCATGTTGAGGGCCATCCCCGAGAAGAATTTGTCGCTGAGGACGGCCGGCAGGCCCGCCCTAGCAGCCCCCTGACGGAGCTCCCTCTCGACCCCCTTTGCCGTCTGGAGCACCGGCGCGTCCGCCGGCTCGTCGAAGAGCAGCGTCTTGTTGCCGCCGTGGTCGTTGTAGTTTTCGATGTCATTTCCCGCTGACAGCACCACAGGCGCAAGAGTGTACGCACCGCCAGGCATCGAGAGGCAAACGAGCAAAGCAATATCAACGGGGCTGAGTTTACAAAAATTCTGAGTAAACTCTGTGGCATCGAGAATGAGTGACCGCAATCTCGCCAGGGTCAGCACCAGCAACCTCAATGGCCTGTTTGGGGTGTGGGTCAACGAGGTGCAGGGCCTCGAGGCGTCTGTCGTGGGGGTGTGGCTGTCCAGGCAGAAGGACGGCTTCATCGGTCTTGTCGCCCCTCACCTCCGTGATGCCTTTGGCATCTTGTGGGACGATACGACCACCACATTGCTGAGTAAGCTGGAGCACAGCCATCGAGCGGAGGTGCGGGTCCAAGTTACCTCGTCGCAAGGTACTGGAGAGAGAGCTGCAGGGGGAGCGGGGAGGCATCGAAGAGCCGCTTCGTTTGTGCATGCAGGGTCTGGCAGGGACGTGCTGTATGCCAGCGCCATTCGAGACCACTCGGGCGACTGGGACGTCAAGATAGCCGCAGCTGCACTGGCACCCATCCCGGGCTCAACCACCATCCCAGCCATGACGACGATGACCACCACGCACGAGGCCATCCTTTTCTACGAATCGTGCGAGACGCAGGTCCACAGGGAGGCGCACAGCACGCCCCTCTCTCCCGAGGAGATCCAGGCGTTCATGACAACGGTGGCTGGCGGTGCTGCGCAAAATCAAGACGACGGGAATGACCTGGGGGAGACGGGGGAATAGATGTCGTGTGTTTGGTTGTGATTTGCAAGTCAGCTCTTCAGACACATGTGACGGCGGATGATGCACGAGAAAGTTGGACCACACATACGTGAGGGCTGGGTGACAGCCCGCCGATTTTTTCACGCCGACAACGTCGGATGCGTGAGTGAGTGTGGCTGGTGGCAGTAGACTTGTTGGTTGCGATGCGTGGAAGACATGATTGGGTCAATGACTCATATTGAATCAATCACTTTTTCGCACGGACATTAGTCAGCACTAATAGTGAAGTGAACGGCGGCGCTGATAAAGACGCACACCCGAAGATGCTCCACCGTACATGTACGCGAGTACCCACTCGTCATGCATCGATGCATGACAGACACAGCCAGGCACATTCACCCCTTCCCCGACATCCTCGTACCTACAGCAGGTCAGCTGCATGAAGTGACAGACTCAGCCAGACGCGTGAAGACAGCTAGACGGATGAGCCGCCACATACACACACAAAAGCAGCAAACACACACGCGGAGAGTCATGACACAGGAGAGCACATGTGTGGCACATGTCCCGCCACCCAGACAGGCAGACAGCCAACAGCGTCACTGACGACCACGCACGGTCACGTAAGACGACGGCTGCTCTGTCAAGGGCTCCATCCCATATGGCACGGCTCGACCTGCAGCAGGCACTGTGCTCATTGACGCATGTGTGGAATGCATGTGTATTGACGGGTTTCACCTGGGGTCTAGTTTATGGCATTCGGGGGAGGTGACGCCGCTGCGGCCGATGCCGATGGCGTGGTAGTTGGCGCCGTCCCCGCTGCTGCTGCAGTCGGTGCATTCACTTGCGCCTGTTGCTGGTGGAGCCCATGCAGGAAGGGGTGGTGCCCATGCAGCTGCGCAATGGGCGGCCGTGCAGCGAACATAAAGAACGGCATCGAAAGGGCCAGTTGCGCCTGTTGCGGGTGAAATGGCATGGGTGTCATGAGTTGCGGAGCAGCCGACGACGGGAGCAGCATGGTTGGTGCGTTGGATGCCGTGGGTGCCATGAATGGCGGGGCAGCCGACGACGGGAGCAGCATGGTTGGTGCGTTGGGTGTGGTGGACCACCACTGCTGCGAAGGGGTGGGTTGGTGCGTTGGGGCGTCACCCGGGCCCTCTGAGTAGGGAAACGGCACAGGGCAAACAACGTCCTGTATGCAGCATTTGTGTATAGAGGGCTTGTGCACCCACCTGCTGCAGCATTAGAGAGGTCTGGGCTGGTAGCTTCTTGAGGGGGTGACTGGATGAATCCAAAGACGAAGCAGAGATAAGCAGAGGTGCCAAGGTGCAAGCTTTTGGATCAGTACCTGCCCCGGGATGGGGGGGCCCTGGCTTTGGTCATGGATCCCCACAAACCGCTCAGACGCTGCCAACCTATCGGTCAGTTCCGCCCGCGCCACACCCCATTGTGGCTGTGCGTTTTGCTGGAATCTCCTCATCATCGGCTCGGGCTTGACATGGGGCATCTGCATAGAGTCGTCAGCTGGCCTCTGTGTCCGGCGCCATCTCCTCATCGTCGTCTCCACGTCGCTGAGTCGTGCACCAAGTGCACAGCGGAGGACGTCAATGCGGACACTCACGAAGGTCCCTTCCAACTCGACCCATGCCACACTCGCACGACCGACAGCAACCAGAATGGCATCTGCACACACGCACAGACACAGAGAAATAATGCATGCACACCGACCGCCAGTTCCCTTCTCGTTACCTGTGTGGCCTCCACCGCTGTACACTTTGCTGTAGGTCGAGTGAGGGTTGCTGCAGGTCGAGCGAGCACCCCTCACTGCCTCTACGGTCTTCATCATGGTCTCCCTCATGCTGCTCGCCATGCCCGTCCAGAAGTCCTCAGTCAGGTGAGGGAGCTCCACACGGCTGAACTGGTTGACCAGCAGATTCTTCAAAGAGTCGAAGGGAAGCTTCTTGACATCGCACAGCTCCCACTGCAGCATTGCCGCTTGATGGTCCTCCCCGAAGCCCACGACCAGCCGATCGTCCGCCGGGCCGTACATCTTCACTTCCTCTTCTTTGCAGAAGAAAATCGGGTGAGCGTAGCCCAGGAGGCGAGCGGGCTCCCCCTCGCACCCCGACTGCTGCAAGACGCAGATGCGAAAGGCGCAAGGCACCCTCTCAGGGCCACGGCGCTTCGTCCTCTCGATGGGCGTGCTTCTCTCCTCCCGTCGCGTGAAGTGCATGTCCGACTCCCCCAGGTGCAAGATGACTGTCCGATCCGACCGCTTCACTGGCTTCACTGGTAGGTCGAAGCCGAGCTGAGCGCCATGTGGGACAACGCGTCCCGTGAGAAGCTCGTACCGCACTAGGATCCATGTGCCGGTGACGTCGGGCAGTGGCCGCTCAACCTCCAGCTGATGGCCGTTCTGCCCTCCCTGCAGAAAATAGCAGGCCGGGCTGGCGACGGGGGTGGCAGCGAAAGGGACGTTGAGGACGTAGAGGATCTTGTCGCTGACATTCTGCAGCTGCTCTCCGACGATCTTCAGCAGCTGCGGCCGGTTCGCAACGGTGCGCAGCACCTGCATCACATACGTACACGCGGAACACCGCAATCAATCGATGGTGCCATTGTGATGTGGGCGAGTGCTTGCCTGGAAGTTCTGCTGGAGGAAGGCAAGCGTCGTGGTCTCGCCGTGCTCATATCCACTGGGTGATTGTGTTGCTGGTACAGCTGCACTGGACGCGCTGGCGCTCACTCGAGGCCTCTTTTGCGGCGGCTCGTTAGAGCTGCCCGCACCTTCGGCGGCATGCACCACCTGGCAAATGACAGACACACCACACAATACACACACACACACACACACATATGCGTGACACCGGCACCGATCTCTGCAGTTTCCTTTCGTGCACGCAGCCACGCACCGGTTGTTCCTCCTCCTCTTCCTCGCCCCCTGGTCCCTCCTGCCCCTCCTCATGCTGCAGCTGGTGTGCTGCAGCAGCTGGCTGGTCAGCCGCCATGCCCACGTCCTCCGGGTCGTAGAGGAGATACTTGATATTCTGAACAAAGACGCGGATGCATACGCACTCGTCATCACCACACGCGTATCTTCGAACCCTCTCTTGTACAAGCACTCACCTCCACACCGATGGAAAGCTTCTCGCCGGTTTGCAGGTATCGCACTTTGACCTGAACGAGTAAAGAGCGTCTCTCTCTCTCCGTCTGTCTGTGTGAGTGCCGGTGCATGTATATATGCGGTATACCAGCCATCTATCGCGCTCGGGCTCTTCGAGCACCTCCACGTCGTAGAAGCCATCCTCCTCACCATCCTCCTCGCCATCCTCCTCGAAAAGAGACGTGACTGACATTCTCATACCTGGTCCGCACCATCAGCACACACTCACTCACTCACTCACACATTCTCTCACACACACGGAGAGAGAGATTCTTCTGATATCTTGCCTTTTTTGACTGTCTCGACTCGAGGGGGCTCGCGACGGAGCGCGTGCTCCTGCGGTGAGACAAAGGCTGCTCTTTGGTACACATCTGCAGACAGGCGGCAGAGGCCAGCAAGAGTCCCACACTCACCCACACCAAGATGCAACGCTGCGTGATGCCTCTCACCGCTCGCGAACAGTGTGGCGGCAACCTGGATGCGCTGGATTGGAGTGTCCAGCTCCACGGTACACGTAGTGCCATCGGTGTTGACGACGGTCCCGTTCCACCAGCACCCGCAGATCACGTAAGCCGGAACTTTCTGTCCCTGCCATTTGGCGTCCGGCGGACGACTGAACGCCAGCGCACAAGCAGCACACGTGAGCCAGAATATGGTTCTGTGGGCTGCACCCACCAGAAGACTTGCACGCGGACTCCCTTGCTCAGCATGTGGCCTCCCTATTCGCTGCGTCGTGGGAAGCGAAGATCTCCCAAGGCAAGATCTTCAAGCTCGCACAGGAAGCTGCAAAGAGGCGCTGCTGCGAAGCTGTAAAGAGGTCCCCAGGGAAGCTTCCCCTTAATCCCCACATTGGAGTCACAACAGACAGTCGAAGATGCGCTGGGCCCTTGACTAGGCTGCATACATAGATACGGCTGCCTTGCTGTGCCAGGCGTGCATTCACAGCTTCATCTCGTCAACACGTGGAAAAGCCGATGGCCGGCTCCCTCCGCTGCGGTAGAGGTGGATGGCAGAGGCGGATGCACTCTCTTCTCTCTTCCCCGCTGACCTCATGGGCAAGACTGTCGTTGCACAGCGGTTCAAACACTCTATCACTCATCACCAGTCGTCGATGGGATAGCTGCTGAGTCACGGAGACCACCCAGACGGATAGAGGCATGAGAGTGTTGTGGAGCTAAGGGAGGAGCCGTGCTGTATCACCACAAACTCACAGATCGGGTGGGTGGCTGTGCGGGGAAACACACAAATGCACCGACACAACACACGAGTGTTTCTCTGCCTGCCTGCCTGCCTGCCTGTGTGTGTGTGTGTGTGTGTGTGTGTGTGTGTGTGTAGACTACCATCCGTTTCGTGAGGGCGTCATGCCCTCATGGGAAGACGCCGAAAACAGAGAGGGTACCTACCGCACACAGACAACACACACACACTCTCATGGCCCCGTCATTGCCCTTCATCTGTGTGTGCAGGTGGCCGTTTGATCGTCAAAGTGCCCAAGGACATCACTGCGGCCATCTGGGAGGACATGGTCAGTCAGCGTTACAGTGAGACGGCCGGATGGCTTCTGTGCATGTGTGTGTGGGGGCGGCATTTGTAGGTGTTGGCGTTGATCGGTGAGCAGTTCCAGACGGAGGACCCCGACGAGATCTGCGGGGCCGTCATCTCTGTGCGCCGCGGGGTCAGCACAACAGCCAACCACCCGACACACAGACATACACACCTGCCTGGTGTGGTGTCTGTTTCCCATTGCTTCAGGAGGACTCGTTGTCTCTGTGGCACAAGAGCAGACGCCGGAAGTCCACGACCAACTCATGTGTGTGAGATACCCAAACACACACATGGGAAGGCATCTTGCTGTCTATGTCTGTCTGTGTCATCAGCGAGGCGTTGAAGCGCGTGCTTCGTCTGGGCGACAGCTTCGCCATCGACTGGCGAGAGCACTCCAAGTACTGTATGCACACCAAGCATAGGCACACGGGGAGCCCTCACACATTCACATGTTTCTCCGCCCCTGCTCGCCTTCAGGTCTCTGGGTCTGGCCTCTGTCAAGGACAACCGCAGCCGCCCCACCCCCACGCCCCCCAAACACGGCGACAATGAGCCCCCCATCCCGCCAGGCGGCATCGAGCTCCCGCCCAGAGACACACTCGACGACGACCGCCGAGCCCGCGACATGATGCGCGACAACAACATCGGCGGACAGCGATATGGTGGCGGCGGGGGGCGGTTTCCACGCGGCGAGAGGGTGGGGGGCGGCTGGCGAGAGGGGGAGGGAGAGGGCAGACGCCCTCCCCCCGACCGCAAAGAGCCGCCCTTCAACCGTCCGAACCGCCTGGCCTCCTTCGACACCCACAATGAGGCCGAGCCGACGCCGCCCAGCTCGGCCAAACACGCCCTCGGGGCACCGCCCCCGCCACGCCCTGTTGGTCTTGGTGGTGGGTGGGGCAGGGGCAAGGTGCTGCGGCCTGGCGGGATTGGCCGTAGAGGGCCAGAGAGGGCGACAAGGGGGACCACAGAGACGAGGAGTGACCGAGTCAGTGAGTGATTTGAATGCTTCTTGGGTGGCTGTGTAAGGTAGCCGAGGGGAGGAGGGTTTCAATTGAATGGTTGCGGCGTCTGTTGTGTGGGCGGTTGCTGTGTTGGTGGCTGCTGCTGCATTCCGGGAACAGCTGCGATCGCCGTATGCCTCCACGTGTGTGGCGATTGAGGATGGACTTAGAACGTCGAAGCGGCCGGCGACACAGACAACTCGAGAAGCGGGCTTAGTAGCCCGCCAGACAGACAGGCTTAGAGGACTTCTGGTGTGTTTAACTAACGGCCGCTGGCGTGGCAGGAGTGCGTCTGTGTACATCGATCGGGATGTGGACTGACTGCATATGGCTGTCCATGGCATTGATGAATCGCAGCATCTATGGCGCAAGTCGATCAGCGGTCCACACTCCACACGCACCACACATTCAAATCGTCAGGCAGGCAGGCATCCGTCCGTCCGTCCGTCCGTCCACTGATGCGACACTCATGAGGGACACACACTGACATGAAATGCCCACACACCCACGTGAACTCCCCTGACCCTCATGTGTGCCCCGCCCCGCCCCAGCCACCGGTCTGTGTCGTCACTGTCTCTCTCGACTTCACTGCCCCGCTGAGAAACTCCACCCCCTCCACACACACACACTCACACACGAACAGAGACACGAGTGGTCGGCACTAGAGGCTCCACGCTTCACGTGCAGCCTCTGATGCCGACAAACCCGCCACACACAACAGTCCTTCATGCAACCACACGCGACACAAACTGCCCAGATGTCATGCCACATAGTATCAGAAACTGCCTGCCCTCCTCCTGCTTTCCCCTTCTGTCTCACCCTCCCGTCAACACCCACACGCACACACTTGACAGCCTCTGTCCTCACATGCGCTTGTGCCT